ATACACCATGACCAAGTGGTATATATCCCTGGAATGCAAGGATGGTTCAGCATATCCAAATCAATAAATGTGACACACCACATTAACATAATGAAGAATAAAAGCCACATGATCATCTCAGTAGATGCAGAAAAAGCATTTGACAAAATTTAACATCTTTTCCTGAAAAAAACTCTCAAGAAACTAGGTATGGAAAAAATTTGCCTCAACATAATCTGACAGATCTAACAAGCCCATAGTTAACACTGTCTTCCACAGTGAAAAGTGGAAAGCTCTTCTACTAAGATCAGGAACAAGGATAAGATGCCTACTCTCACCACTTGTATTCAGTGTAGTAGTGGAAATTCTAACCAGAGCAAATAGGCAAGACAAAGAAATGAAAGGCATCCAAATTGGAAAGGAAAAAGTAAAATTGGTTTTGTTTGCAGATGACATGATCTTATACATAGAAAACCCTAAAGACTCCACAAAAAACCTGTTAAAACTGATTTAAAAATTCAGTAAGTTGGCAGGATACAAGTTACATATCTATGCATTAATAACAAATTATCTGAAAAGGAAATTAGGAAAACAATTCCATTTACAATAGTATTAAATAGAATAAATAGGAATAAACTTAACTAAAGAAGTCAAAGACTTATACAATAAAAACTATAAAACATTAGTAAAAAAATTAAACAAAGACATAAATAGAAAGGTATCCTGTAGTCATGGATTAGAAGACTTAATATTGTTAAAATGTCCATACTACCCAAAGGGATCTACAGATTCAGTGTACTCAATCTCTACCAAAATTTCAGTGGCATTTATTTTTACAGAAATAGAAAAAACAACTCTAAAATTCACATGAAACCCTCAAAAGACTCTGACTAGCCAAAACAAAATGGAAGAACAAAGCTGGAGGCATCACACTTCCTGATTTCGAAATACAATACTACAGTAATTAAAACTGTTTGGGCCGGGCTTGGTGGCTCACACCTGTAATCCTAGCACTCTGGGAGGCCAAGGCAGGAGGATCGCTCAAGGTCAGGAGTTCAAAACTAGCCTGAGCAAGAGTGAGACCCTGTCTCTACTAAAAATAGAAAAAAATTATTTGGTCAACTAAAAATATATAGAAAAAATTATCCAGGCATGGTGGCACATGCCTATAGTCCCAGCTACTCGGCTGAGGCAGGAGGATCACTTGAGCCTAGGAGTTTGAGGTTGCTGTGAGCTAGGCTGACGCCACAGCACTCTAGCCCAGGCAACAGAGTGAGACTGTCTCAAAAAACAAAACAAAACTGTATGGTACTGGCATAAAGACAGACATATGGACCAATGGAACAGAATACAGAGCCCAGAACAGATTCACACATTATGATCAATTGATCTTCAACAAGCCTGCCAAGATCACACAATGGTGGAAAGAATAGTCTCTTCCAAATGATGTTGGGAAAACTGGATAAAGTATGAAATTGGACTCTTACACCCAACATAAAAATCAACTCAAAATAGATTAAAAATGTAAAAGTAAGACCTGAAACCAAAACTCCTAGAAGAAAATGTAGGAGGAAAGCTTCTTGATATTGGCCTTGGCAATGACTTCATGCATATGAGATAAAAACATAGGCAACAAAAGCAAAAATAGACTTGCAGGACTGTATCAAACTAAAAAGCTTCTGCATAGCAAAAGAAACAATCACTAGAGTGAAAAGGCAGCCCATGGAATGGGAGAAAATATTTTCAAACCACATATCTCATAAGGGGTTAATTTCCAAATATATAAGGAACTCTTAAGACTTAATAGCAAAAAAACTAATAATCCAATTTGAAAATGGGCTAAGAATTTGAATAGACATTTCTCTAAGGAGGACATTTAAATGGGCAACAGTTATATAAAAAGATGCTCAACATCAGTAATCATCAGGGAAATGCAAATCAAAACTACAATAAGACATTATCTCTCACCTATTTAGGATGGCTATTATTTAAAAAAAAAACGAGTTTTGGTGAGGATTTAGAAAAATTGAAACACTTGTACACTGTTGCTGGGAATGCAAAATGGCACAGCCACTATGGAAGACAGTATGGAGGTTCCTCAAAAATTTAAAAATAGAACTACCACATAATCCAGCAATTCTACTCTAGGTATTAATATCTTCCCAGAAGAATTGAAATTAGGATCTTGAAGAGCTATTAGTACTTCCATGTGCATTGCAGCATCATTCACAATAGCCAAGATGTGGAAACAACTTGTCTTAATTGTTAACAACTATCTTAATTGTAACAATTTAATTGTAAATTGACAGATGAACAGATTTTTAAAAATGTAGTTTATATATATAATGGAGTGTTATTCAGCTTTTATAAAAAAAGAATATCTTGCAATCTGTAGCAATACATATAAACCTTGAGGACATTATGCTAAGTGAAATAAGCCAATCACAGAAGGACAAATACTATATGCTTTCATTTGTATGAGGTATCTGAAATACTCAAACTCATTAAAGCAAATACTTGAATGGTGGTTGTCAGAGGCTGTGGGAACAGAGAAATAGGGACTTACTAATCAATAGGTATAAATTTCAGTTATGCAAGACGAATAAGTTCTAGAGATCTACCGTATAATATTGTATTTATAGATAATAAAATTATATTGTTCATGTAAAAATATGTTAAGAGGGTATATCTCATGTTAAATATTCTTACTACAATAAAATAAAATGAAGAAACACACTTGAAACATAGTCACAAATGTGTAAATGTGAAAGTATGGAGAAATATGTTCATGGCTCAGAAGATCCAATACTGTAAGATGTCTCTCCAAATTTACCTATAGAATCAATGCAATCTCAATCAAAATTCTAGCAGGCTTTTCCTATAGGACTTGGACAAGCTGATAACTAAAATTTATACAGAAATACAAAATACCTAGAATTGCTAAAACAACTATGTAAAAGAAGAACAAAGTTACAGGGCTAACTCTACCTGGGAGAAAATATTTTCTCCCATTCTACCTGATTCCAAGAATTATTATAAAGTGACAATAATCAAAACTGTAGTTTTGGTATAAAGATAGACAAATAGATTAATGGAAAAGAATGGAACGTATAGAAACAGGCCCACACCTATATGGAAAACTGATGTTTGATAAAGATGCAAAGGCAATTAATTCAGTGGAGAAACAACAGTCTTTTTAACATATGGTACTGAAACTATTGGACAAACACATGGAAAAAAAAAGAACTTTAATTCATACCATGCGACAAATACAAAATTAACTAAAATGAACCATAGTATGAAGTGTAAAATCTAAAACTATAAAACTTGTAGAAGAAAACAAGAGGAAATCTTTGTGACATTGGGCAGGGCAATGATTACTTAGATATAACACCAAAAGCATAATCCATAAAAGAACGAATTGATAAACTGTACTTCATCAATTTTAAAAACTTTTGCTCTTTGAAAACCTTTGTTAAGAAAATGAAAGCCATAGACAAGAGTAAATGTTTGGAATGCATTTGTCTAATAAAGAACTTGTATCTAGAATATATAAAGAACTCTCAAAACTCAAGAAAACAAGCAACTAATTTTTTAAAATAAAAGATTTGAACACATATTTCCCCAAAAAAGACATGCAAATTAGAAATCAGCACATGAAAAGAGTCTCGAAATCATTAATCAGTAAGGAAATGCTGCATGAAACCACAAAGAGACACTGATTCACACCTATTAAATCGGCCAAAATTTAAAAAGACTGACTATACCAGGTGTTGGAGGACATGGGGAAACTGGAACTCTCATATGCTGGTGGGACTGTAAAATGGTAAAACCACTTTGTAAAACAGCTTGGCAGTTTCTTAAAAAGTTAAATGTATATCTACCATACAACCAGCTATTCCATTTCTATGTATTTGCTCAAGAGTACTGAAAGCCATGATGTACACAAGTGTTTGTAACATTTTATTTATAATAGCACCAAACTGAAAACAACCCAAATGTTTGTCAACAGGTGAATGGATAAACAATTTATAATATATACAGTGGAGCACTTCTCATCACTGAAAAGGAATCAGCTGTTGATACACATAACAACACATATAAATCCGAAAATTAGTATATTGAGTAAAAGAAGCCAGATAAAAAGAGATCATATTTTTTAATTCCATGTATGTGAAACTCTCAAATGTGTGAATTAATCTGTGGTGACAGAGAGCAAATCAGTGGTTGCTTGAATGGGGGTGGGGGAGTGGGATGGGCAAGAGGAATGGATTACCAAGGGGTATGAGGAGATTCAGGGATGATACACATGTTTATCTTAATCGTGGTGATGGTTGCATGGGAATATTCATATGCCCAAACTTATCAGACCGTATGCTTTAAATATTTGCATTTTACTATATGTCAATTTTACCTCAGTAAAGCTGTTTAAAAATAAAAGCCTTTGCCTATATAGTGGGGTTCAGTCTTATACCCCAATATTTTTTTAAAGCCTAATGGTTGTGGTGATTCCTGCCACATAGTAAATGTTCAATTAATAGTAACTTTACCCTTCTTGAAGATCAACCTGGAAAAATGTCTGCAAATATGCCTTTTTTTTTTTTTAAACATCATGTATCTTAAAGGGTATTAAAGAAGGCCCTAATTAAAGTAACTGTGAACTAGAGCACCTCAGGGACTTACATTTTCTAAAATATGAAACTTAAACTATGGCCTGCATAAAGCCTATTGAAGAACATTATTATATATGTGCTAGATTGTGATGCATTGTAACACTGTAATGTCTTGCTCCATTAAATCTGAAAATATATAAAATGAAATAGATCTTATTTTTGTTTTTTCTTTCGTGTTTGAAGGTAGGAATTAAATTACATATTTATAATTCTAAAAAAACATATAAGCAAAGCCAAAAATTACTAACTCAAATTAGAGTGTGAAATAAAGAAAATCTGAAACTCTTAGGAGCATAAAGGAACATTTTTAATTCTCAAACTTACTTATTTAAAAACCCATTTTCTTACCTAAACTGATTCACCTTTAAGATGTAGCAAATCACTGAAAACTTCATACTAAAATTTCCTTTCAGTAATATTGTTTTCTTTCAGAGTACAATATGCAAAGAGAAGTATCTTCATCTGTCCTTCCCTCTTTCCGTGGTAGGAAAGACACTTTGGCACCTGTCAACAAGATAAAACTCTGAGTGGTTGTGGATTCTAATTCTGGTTACTCCACTATTTTGCTATTCTTCTTTTATAACAATAACCTCCACTGTCTTCACATCTAACATAGAAGCCAGAGAAGTCTGATTAAATAGATGATGAATATTTCATAGCTATATGCAAATACTGTACTTGAAGAATTGTCTCTTACAAGAGGAATTAGATTTGTTGGTATGACCCCAGAGGTTCAAACTAGGACTGGTGGGTGGGAGCTACAGAAAAATATTCTGTAAGAGGGAAATGTTAGAACTGTATCAATGGAATATGTTGACTTAGTCAATAATGAGTTCCCCGTGGTAGGTGTTGAAGGACAGGCTAGATAATTATAAGGCAGGAGGAATTCAAGCATCTGTTTTCAACTGCAGCTAAGATTAAGTAGTCTACGTGGAATAAGAATTCAAAGCATGATGGAAAATTTGCAACAGGAATGAGTCCTAAAAATAATTCTGGAAGTTTTGAAAAACTTAACCAAACTATGAATATTTGTGTAGAATATGGTTTGTCAATATCAGCATAAATAAGTTCTTTGGTTCCATCAGGGTGGGACCCAGGTTCTTTGACAATGTTATTGTTAGGATGTAAGGTATACAAAGTGAAGAACCACTGTATTTGTTGACGCTAGTTGTTCTAGAAATTTACCTGAATTTCTATTATCTTAAAAAGCAGTTATTCTCTATTGAACGTACAGAAAAATATGGCTTTGAGTATTTATTAAATGTAAAATGTAGATTCTGGCTCTCCACACCACCTCCTCCCCTTTCTCAGCATTTCTCGTTTTCTTTTTTTTTTTTTTGTGGAGCCGAGACATTTGATTTTTAACAAATATTCCAAGTGATTTCTATTGTACATGGTCATAAACCTATACTTCAAGAAACACAAATAGGAGTGTAGAAAAGACTAATTCCCATTCTTTCTATCCAAGAATTTGTGTTCAGATGAATTCCATCTTTTAAAAACAAACACTGACACATTTTGTTTTTTTTTTTCCTACTGCAGGGCCAAAAGCCAAAATGAAATTTATGGTACTTGCTGTCATTGTTGGGCTAACATTGCTGCTGGGCATCCAAGCCATGCCTGCAAATCGTCTCTCTTGCTACAGAAAGATACTAAAAGATCGCAACTGTCACAACCTTCCAGAAGGAGTACCTGACTTGACACAGATTGATGTAAATGTCCAGGATCATTTCTGGGATGGAAAAGGATGTGAGATGATATGTTACTGCAATTTCAACGAACTGCTCTGCTGCCCAAAGTAAGGAAATGGAATCACAAAATGTATTGCTATGAAATGTATGCAGAAAATCTCTTTTAAAGACATCTTCTTAATGGGTTTGCTGAAATTATCCACCCTTTGTAGTAAAATCCTGTTCAAATAAATGCCAGCTGTTTTTTTAGAAGTATCACCATTGTGTAAAGAACTGTTTTCATCAAACAAAATTCAAATGGAATTTGGCAGAGTTTAATAAAATTAAAGTCCAGAAAATAAATAACACTTTAATCCATTAAATTCTAAATTCCCTATCCAAATTTTATGGTGAAAAAAATCTACCAGTAGCAGAAGTCAACCTCTGGGTTGCCATCTTAAGCCAACTTGAAAACCAATAAAAGGTTTTAGATAAAAGATCCCGGTGAATGGGATCAAGTCATTAACTGGACAGAAAATTTGGTAATGGTCAAAGAAAAAATTTTCTAGCTCCATGTGTGAGTTAACCATAAAAAACTAAATAAAAGTTTATCTACCATTGTTTATCTACTTAAGTATAAAATAATTTTATACTTAAAATAAAACAATAGTAGATAACTCAATTTATATTTTTAGCTTTTGAATTTTAAAGTCATCTTTCTCTGGTTATTGAGAAACCTTTCAAATTCTATGATCTTGAATTTTTCATACTGAAATTAACATTTCTAAATTACTTTTTCAACATATGCCATTACATTTTCATTCGTCTAAGAGAACTGTGAGGTAGAAAAGGCAGATATAACCATTTTACCAAGGAAAGGTACAGAGAGTTAAAAGGCCAACACTGTCCCACATAACCAGCTAATATCACAACTGGGATTAGAACTCAGATTTTCTGATTTGAAGCAGATTTCTTTTGCTTCCAAGTCAGTTGGTTTTCAAGAGTGGTACCCAGAAGAGCAGCTTCAGCATAACCTGATTTCTTGTCAAAATTGCATATCCTCTGACCTACTAACTCAGAAACTGGAGGTGGGACCCAGAAATTATGTTTTAACAAACCCTCCAGCTGAGTCTGATGCAGGATAAAGTTTGAGAGTCACTGTACTGAACAATGATACTAAGAATTTGAGTTAATTAATCCCACAAAATGACTTAATTTTTCCTGGACTACATAAATGAAATGCCAACTAATATTAAAATATTGTTTGCTTTTTTGTGATTGTATGACTTGAAAGCAATTTACTGAAATGGACTTATATTTATTTTATGGTATAATTTTGTGATTATCTGTGTCAATGAATGAGAACAGCAGTGTGGACATATATAAGTATATTTCTCTCTGATTTGGGGATGCTCTTTTCCTAGCAGCAACAGATTTACCTTACTAAGTATATTTTTAATAAGCCAGAATCATAATACCACCTTGCATATATATGCAATTTTGTATTATTTCATGCATTGCAATACATTATTTTATGTGTTCTTTCTAACCAGGGAGTGTTGAGTAGCTTTTTAACATTTCTCCTTTCCCTGTAAAACATAGAAATTTATTTAATGACTTTCTAAGACATTTTTAATCTTCTGTTTCTTACCTGCAGATTTAAACTTCATGGCCTATCCCCATATAAGAGAAATAGAATTTTATGCATAATTGTAAAGTTTAGAAATCGCCTAATATTCCTTTTCTTTATAGATAAATGATAACATAACATCAATGGCAAGTGGGAGGGGGGAGTAGAATGAATCACCTTCTTGGCCTTTGTTGCTCCTGTAGCAAGTCTTCCCACTCATCTCTTGGTACATTATTCACCTAAAAAGAACAGTCACATCTGGAATCCTGGAAATCACTGTCCATTTTTAATCCAGAAAAAACTAACAAGTACCTTAGTTTTCAGCTGAATTTAACTGATGTTCTATTTTCTTTCAGAGATATCTTCTTTGGACCAAAGATCTCTTTTGTGATTCCTTGCAATAATCCCTGAGAATCTTCATGTATTCCGGAGAATACCATCCCTGATTTCCCACAAACTGCCCTATTATCAGTGTAATTGCATTTCTAGTTTATGTCCAGTGCAATAAAGCACAGATTCTATAAATTCTTACTTGTCTAAGATAAGCATACCTGTGTTAAATAAGTAGTAATAGAAGTTAATTCCATTTTTCTCTGTGGACATTGTTGGTACTTGTTAAAAATTTTACCTAGCAAATTTCATCTATGAGACGCTCACTACACTCAGTAAAAGAATTCTGTAGGGAAACTCGAAGTTTTCTAGTAAGAAGAAAAAAGGCAACCAATATTTGAGCATATATTATGTATGGCAAGTACTTTAAGTACATTTTATTTTACTCTCTTAAACAACAACAAAAACCTTCAAGGTGAATATTCTCAGCCTCATTTTCCAGATGCTAACTCAAGTTTAAGGTATTTGCTAAAAATCAAAGCAGAATTTGAACAGAGTTCCAATTCCGAAGCCTATATATACCACCAAACACACACAGACACACATACATATCCCTAAAACCATGATATATATCCCTGAAATACCAATTTTTCCTGAGAATAACAAAACATACATTAAAAGAAACAGATAAGGCCGGGCGCGGTGGCTCACGCCTGTAATCCTAGCTCTCTGGGAGGCCGAGGCGGGCGGATTGCTCGAGGTCAGGAGTTCGAAACCAGCCTGAGCAAGAGCGAGACCCCGTCTCTACTATAAATAGAAAGAAACTAATTGGCCAACTAATATATATAGAAAAAATTAGCCGGGCATGGTGGCGCATGCCTGTAGTCCCAGCTACTTGGGAGGCTGAGACAGAAGGATCGCTTGAGCCCAGGAGTTTGAGGTTGCTGTGAGCTAGGCTGACGCCACGGCACTCACTCTAGCCTGGGCAACAAAGTGAGACTCTGTCTCAAAAAAAAGATTAAAAAAAAAAAGAAACAGATAATAGATGGGAATTTAAAAGTCACATGAATTTTAAAAGTAAATGAAACCGGTGCCTTTAAAGATATTTTCTGGTTGTTAAAGGAGACAGCTTTGAATTATGACTATTTCTTAGGAGGCATGTGTTGACTCACAGTGGCCTTCAGAAGTCATTTCATAGTCTTTCGTTTTATAGAAATGTATTAAATGCTTGCTATATGCCAGTCATTATTAAAATTTGGGGATATAGTAATGAATGAGATTGGACTTACCCTTTTGGAACTTGTGCTCTAACAAAGGTGTAATCATTATAAACAAATAATCATTTATAAATGTGAAGCCTGCAACAGAGAAGTATACGGTGCTATATAAAGTATTGTGGGAGAAAATTTGAGAAACACACACCACCCAGGCAATCTAGGAGATATAGTTTTGTGAATATAAGTGACATTATTTCATTGAAATACATCCTTGGAGGTCCCTGATCTGTTTCTGAAGACCACATCCAGAATAGTATAGAACAGTATCTGGTATCTGTTGTGTTCAGTAAGTGCTACTGGGCTGGACCAAACAATTTGCAGGTAGTCACAATTCAGTTGCTTTTAAAGTGTGCACAAATACAAGTCAGAACATGTTTTTAAATAGTATGAAATCCTACAAAATCTATGAAGTAGAATTGTAAAAAAAAAAAAAATCAAATTAGTTGTTTTATCAAGATAGCATGTGATTTGATTGGCCTATCTTTCTCCAATGAATAGAATAGGTAAATAAAGAAAACCATAAGTAAATCTGTTTTATTTTCTAGACTTTCCTTGGGGTGGGGAGAGAAAAGCATTAAAGATCTAGTATCTCTATTTACAAATGACACATCAGTATGAGGGCGTATGTGAGGCAACAATGGTGTCTTAGTAAGTGTTCCCTTATTACTGGAATCAAAGCCTGTGAAAAAATACTATTTGAAAAAAGCTAAATATTTAATACATAGAATTGTATAGATTATTATAGATTTATACAGGTGGTCCCCAGGTCATGGATGAGTTATCTTTCTGAGAACATCCTTAGGTCAGAGTGTATGTAACTTGGATCCTTAATGAACAGCATACATATGATGATAACAATAACAATACTATAATGGCTCATATGTGGTAATAATACTATACTATAATACTACAATAATAATATTTCTGTACTGTAATAACAAATTAAAGAAACTATTGTGCTCTTTCTTTTAATTCAAGCAAACAGAACATAAAACCAAACTCATACAAAAAGTTTAGATAGGAGATAAGAGAAATTTCAAAAAAGAATATTAAAGGTTAACGCTCACCTAATGTTGCATCAACACTAGGCCAATAGGAATGTTACACTTATTTTGATCTTCTAACCAAGTCAATAATAACCTTTCCATGTCGATAATTATTCCACTATGCTGCACAGAAATAAATGATGCTTTCATTGGAGCATTGCCTTTCACATGTTCCATTCTTCTTACTTTATTCCTTATAAATGTTCCAATAGTCAAGTGACTAAAGCCTAATACTTTCCCAATGAATGATGGCAACTGTCTGGCCTATCTCCGAACACTTAATTATCTGTACTTTTGTTCCATTGTAATCACCTTCCCTTTTGCTGCAGCCTCATCTGGACTTGCAGTGGACTTTCACTTTAGAGGCACAGTCATAAGGATAAACATGGACTACAAAATTGAATAAAAAAGTTAAGACGAAAGTGATGCTGTATGTAAGTGACCATATCAACAGAGACTAGCCACTAGCATAAAGATGCTGCACCAATGAACTGCTTACATCATGTGGATTTGTTTACATGCATGGAAAAAACTAGTTGCTGAGTTATGAATTTAATTATCCAATTATAGATTATCCTTATGGAGAGCCTTGGAAGCCTGTTCATAAGTACAGAGCACTGTGAGTCGGGTTGTCTGTACCCAGGGCCTGCCTGTACATCATTCTTCATCGTATTCTCTCCTTTCTGAAAATAACTGTAATATGAAATTAAATTATACTCTTTTAGAAATGAATGCATTACGAAGAAGACATTCTTCCTTGTATTACCAAACAAATGTAAAACATGCATGCTCATACGACTTAATTTATATAACTTTTTTTCTGACTTGGTGACCATGTTTTTAAAAGCAAACAATTCATTCAATCATATTAACAAATAGATCTCTATTTTTCCAATAGATTTTAGTTATAAATAAGACAACTAAGCTTTTGTTAAAAATTTACTATTGTTCTAAACACTGTCTTTTGCAACAACTGCACGAGGTAGTTACTGACATTATCTGTTCTATGGACAAAAATTCCAAGGTTTAAGCAAAGCAAGCAGTTTGTCTAAGGTTATATCATCAGTGAGCCAGATTGGTGAGTCTCACTCGAGTATTTTGAGTCTTAACCACTACATTGTTTAATGCACCATCAAATCAATTTTCTTTTTAGGAACACAAATTTTTACTTGGATAGGGCACACAATTGTATATTTCAGATAGCTCATATATACTAAATGTTTACTGAATAACAATTTCTGTATTTTTATCTTTGACTTTCTACATCCTTGTTCTTACTATGAGTCCCACATTGCTGAGCACAAAGTTGTCAGTAATACTTACCAACAGCTCATCTCTTTTTGATAAATGCTTCTTTTCCTCATTATAATTCATAGGGACTGCTTGGATATTTTTGTTTGCTGAGATTAGGTACTGATCCTAAAGGATTATTAGAGAATTAAAAACAACATGAAGAACCAAACAATGAGCAACAACTATTGGAGGAAAGGAAAGACAGGTAGGAACATTCATGAATCATTTTGTAACTTTAACTTCCTTATAATTGTCAAAAGGTACACAAGTTCTTTCCATCATAAATCATTTTTATAAAATATTAATATCAGTTACTTTTAAAATGTAATAAACTCTATAAGTAAGGTACTACAGCCTTTAAAATAATTTTTCAAAAGGAAAAAATAATCAAATTCATGCATCTCTAAGTCAATCTTGCATTAATAGTCTAATCTTAAATTTTTCCCTCAAAGATTTGGAGAGAAAATGATATTAGCAAATTATAGTCTATTGACACTGAATTAACTTCCTCAATATAATTTTATAGAATGGTATCACCATAAGATGCTCATGGAGAGAAATGTGTGGGATATACATAGCTGATATATTTCAAGAATTTGATAGATAAAAGCTATAGTAAATTTTCAGCAAGAAAAAGTTTGTGTGATCTACATTTTCAGACGTTTAGAAGTAAAATGATAAATCTATTGGATATAAAGCATAAAAATATGACTTGCTATCTACATTTAGTATCATTAAAATATATATATACATACATATATATATAGACACACACATGTAAATATATATTTAGATATATGTGAATCTGGTAGCAATTAATAGGACTTATTTGAGAACTATAATTGATCATATAGACTATATGGGAATGAATTCTATAGTAAATAGTATGCACCCTTGAAAAAAAATCAGAATAAAAACAGGAAAATAAGCTGTTTTAACTTATAAGTAAGAGCTTGCTAGGAATTTTTTTAAAACTCCATTAAATGAGTAAACAATAACATGACAAAATTTATTTTTGAACCACCATCACTTGCCTAGATAGCATAATCTTAATTTTAATATCAAAACTTTATGTAAATCCATGAAAATAGTAACCCAAAAAGAGCTGGGGTGGCTATACTAATATCAGACAAATTAGATTTTAAGTAAAAAACTGTTACAAGAGACAAAGAAAGATATTTTATATTGTTAAAAGGTTAGATTCATCAAGAAGATATAACAAGTATAAACATATATGCACCAAATGACAGAGCCATAAAAATATGTGAAACAAACATTGAGAGAACTAAAAGGAGAAATATACAGTTCTACAATAACAGTTGGAGATCTCAATGCCCCACTTTCCATAAGGATAGACATCTAGAAAGAAGATCAATAAGAAAATAGATCAATAAGAAGAAGGGCTATAAAACCAACTAGACCTATTAAACATAAACAGAACATTCTACCCAACAACAGTAGAATACATATTCTTCTCAAATATACATGGAACATTCTCCAGGAGAGACTGTTAGTCCATAAAACAATTATCTATAAGCTTTAAAAGACTGAAGTTATACAAATTATCTTCTCAAACCACAATGGAAAAAAGTTAGAAGTCAATATAGAAGGAAAACTGTAAAATTCACAAATACCTAGAACTAAACGATACACCCTTTAACAACCAGTGATTTAAAAAAGAAATCACTAGGGAAATTAGAAAATACTTTGAAATGACTGAAAAAAAATATCAAATCTTATGGAATGCAGGAAAAGCACTATGCAGAGGGAAATTCATAGGTGTAAATACCTACATTAAAAAGAAGAAGGATTGCAAATCAACCTAACTCTACACATGAAGAAAATAGACAAAGAGCAAACTAAATCCAAAACCAGCAGAAGAAATAAAATAAAAAGATTAGAAAAGAGATAAATGAAATAGATAATAGGAAAAAGTAGAATTCTTGAAATGAATATAGATGCAAAAACCCTTAACAAAATACTAACAGAACAAATATCACAGCACACTAAAAATATTATAAGCAAGACCAAGTGGGATTTATCCCAAGAATGCAAGGGTAGTTCAACATAAGGAAGTCAATCAAAGTAATATACATTAAGGAAAAAAAATAGATCATCTCAATACTACAGTCAATACCTTTTCATGATAAAAAGTTCAGCAAATTAGGAAGAGAACTTCTTAACAAGATAAAGAACATCTATGAAAACCTATAGTTAACATCATATTGAATGGTGAAAGATTGAACACTTTACTCCTAAGAAAACGAATAAGACAAGGATGCCTCCTTTCATCACTGCTATTCAACATTGTACTGGAAGTGCTAGTCAGAGCAATTTGTCAAGAAAAAGAAATAAAAGGCATCCAAATTTGAAAGGAAGAAGCAAACCTACCTTTATTTACAGATAAGATGATTCTCTATATAGAAAATCTCATGGAATCCACACACATAAAAAAACTACTAGAGCTAATATATTCAGCACAGTTGCAGGGTCAACACACACCAGTAATGAATAATCCAAGAAAGAAATTAAGAAACAATTCTTTTTATAAAGCATCAAAAAGAATAAAATACCTAAGAACAACTTTAACAAAGATGAAAGACTTGTACACTAGAAACTATAAAACAGTGCATAAAGAAACTAAAGACCTATAACAAATGGAAAGACATCCCATATTCATGGTTGGAATGCTTAATATTGTTAAGATGACAATCTGAAAGCAGTCCACAGATTCAATGCAATCCCCATCAAAATTCTAATGGCTTTTTTGACAAAAATGGAAAAACCAATCCTCAAAATATATGGAAGTACAAGGAGTGCTCAATAGGTAAAACAATATTGAAAAAGAAAAAGAAAGTAGAAGGACTCACACATCCTGGTTTCAATTCTTATTGCAAGGCTACAATAGTCAAAGAGCATAGCACTGGCATAAGAATTAATACATAGACCAGTGGAGTCGAAATCAGTGTACAGATATAAACCCAAACATCGATGGCCAGTTTTCAACAAGGCTATAAAGACCATTCAGTAGAGAAAGAATAGTTTCTACAATAATTGGTGTTGGGACAACTGGCTAACGACATTCAAAAGAATGCAGTTGGATCCCTATCTCACTTATATATGAACATTGACTCACAATGGTTCAAAAATCTAAATTTAGGAGCTCAAACTGTAGAACTCCTAGGGGGGGAAAACCATACACATTAATATTTATGACATCATATTTGGCAATGGATTCTTAGATTTGACATTAAAAGTATGAGGACCAAAGGAAAAAATAAATTGGACTGTATAAAAATTTAAAACTTTTGTGCATCAAAGAACATTACCAAAACTGTGAAAAGGCAACTTACAGAATGAGAGGAAACATTTGCTAATCATATATCTGATAAGAAATTAATACCCATAATAAATAAAGAACCTATACAACACAACAAAAAGACAACCCAATTAAAAAATGAGTAAAAAGGACTTGAATAAACATTTCTCCAAAGATATACAAGTGGCCAATAAGCACCTGAAAAGATGTTCAATATCACTGATCATTAAGGGAATACAAATTGAATATGCTTCATAAACAGGAGGATGGTTTTAATACATATATCTAAAAAAGGAAACACAGCCAGGCATGGTAGCTTATGCCTATAATCCTAGCACTCTGGGAGGCTAAAGCAGGAGGATCACTTCAGCCGATGAGTTTGTGGTTGCAGTGAGCTATCATGCCACTGCACTCTACTACGGGTTAGACTAAAATTCTGTCAATCAATCAATCAGTCAATAACATAAGTGTTGGAGAATTGGAGGATAGGAGGCCACATACATTGCTGGTAGAAATGTAAAATGATGTAGTCACTTGGAAAGTTCAGAAGTTCCTCAGAAAGTTAAATATAGAATTATCATGTGACTCAGCAAATTCTATTGCTAGGTATATATCCAAGAGAAATGAAAACATATGTCCACAGAAAAACTTGTACATGAATGTTTACAGCAGGATTATTCATGATAGCCAAAGGTAAAAACCCAATGTTCATCAACAAATGAATGAATAAACAAACTGTGGTATGCAGATACACTGAAATATTAGTCAGCCATAAAAAAATGAAGTACTGATATATGCTGCAACTTGAATGAACCTCAAAAATATTATGATAAGCAAAAGAAACTGACATAAAAGAATAGTATCTGATTTTCTTTATATGATATATCCAGAATATGCAAATCAATACAGATATGAAGCAGATTAGAGGTTAGCAGGAGATGGGGAGAGAAATGGGTACTGACTACATATGGTTTTTGTGGGGTGAAGAAAAAGTTTTGAAATTAGAGCTGTTTATACAATATTGTAAATGCACTAAATATCACCAAATTGTATACTTTAGTATAGTTAAATATATAACAAATTTCTTAATTAAAACACTTTATATAGAAATAACATAGAACTTTTTTATAAAGAAATGTATTTCAGGCATTAATTTTTTGACTTTTACTAAATTGTTCTTTAAATTCAGTTGTGGGGGTGGGGTGGGGGGGTGGAGCAAGATGGCAGACGAATAACACCGCCAGACAGAGTGTCTCTGCAGAAAAGACAGATTCTAGCAGAAATTAGAGGAAAGAAGCAAGAAGACGAGCATACAGTGGACGAGGGCCGGAAGGAGGGGTACCTGAGACCCCGGGAGACTCCATAAAGCGATACAATGAATCTACCATTTGATCCAGCAATCCCATTGCTGGTATCTACCCAAATGATCCAATGACACTCTACAAAAAAGACACTGAACTCGAATGTTTATAGCAGCACAATTCATAATTGCAAGGCTGTGGAAACAGCCCAAGTGCCCATCAATCCAAGAATGGATTAATAAAATGTGTATATGTATACATGGAGTACTATTCAGCTCTAAGAAACAATGGTGATATAGCACATCTTATATTTTCCTGGTTAGAGCTGGAACCCATACTACTAGTGAAGTATCCCAAGGGAAAAACAAGCACCAGATATATTCTCCAGCAAATGGTATTAACTGAGTAGCCCTAATGGACACATAGGTACTACAGTAATAGGGTATTGGGCAGGTGGGAGGGGGCCGGGTATATTCATACATAATGAGTGAGATGTCACCATCTGGGGATGGTCATGATGGAGACTTCAGACATTTTG